ATTTCTATATGGACGTATAAGTTTATAAAAGTGTGTGGATGGGAACACAGTGGTTTGAAGTTTTTCCCGGAAAAGTTTTTGTTTTATGATTCGTCTGATGATGCTTACCTGAATATTTGAATTTGCTGCTAATTCATAGTCTGACTTGAGTCATTTTGCCGTTAGTCTGCTTTCAAAAACTCATGGCACTGAACGGCCGATTGGTCTGTCAGCGGACATCTGTTACTGGTAAAAGCGCTATAGTCCAAGTGAAAAAAAAGGCCTTGATTATTTTCGAAATGTGAAATACACTTCAAAAATAATAAAGGCTTCAATTATTTTTTTAAGTACGTTTGGAAGTCTGAACTGCTTTTAATGCCAAAAGTGTTCAGGTAGTTCATGCTCCGTCGACAGCGGCAAATTCCAGTAACGGTAGTGATCTGAAATCCAGCAGTTCACCTCGCTCGACAACAGCAGCACCGCTAATAAATCATGCTGCAGCAGCTGCTTCGCTTCGTTATCACCCGTACATGAAGCCCAACGGTCTTATGCCAACAATGCCGAATCCCCTTGGTGTGTCACCATTCCCGACAATGGCAGGATTTCCGTCCGCTGCCGCCTTACAGGCAATGTATACTCAGCGCCTTATGGCTACCATGCCACATCCGTAGGATTTCTCTGCTTCTTCAGTGCTGATGAGTTATGCGCTCATATTGTGTTAGTTTCCGAGATTCTTCACTGTTCTGGCCAGTGATTACGGGTCCAGTTCAAATCCCTGTGCTTGGCATTTCCTTGTCTTTAATTTATACAGAATGCTTTCACCTAACAGCCGGTCAGTCCTTTGTGCTGGCTGGCACTTATGTTGGATAAGAGGGGCATGCTTCGTAAATAGTCTGTGATGCAGTGGTGCTTCGCAAGCATTTCCGTATGCGAATGTGCTTTTCGAAAACTGTAATATTTAACTCATTCCCCATAAATATTTTCTTTTTTTAATTTCCCTTGATTCCCACTTTTCCTGTTTGAATTCACGTTTTTCACTTTTTTTGCACTCAGTGTGCTATTCTTCTGCAACTCTAACACTTGCTTTGATGCATATTTCCTTAACGTTGAGATTGCATATGAACGTTTATTATGAACACACAGTTTTTTAGTTTCCGTAAAAATAAGGAATACACACATTTCTTAATTTTCTTTCATTTATTAATTACAGGATAGGGACCCGTACAGGTTTTTGCATTTTTAGAAATTTGGATTGGTTCCGAAAATGGATGTAATTGTTGGTCTGGGGCTTATTTTCTTTTCCATTTTTTGAAAGGCGAGATTTTTGCAGAATTTGGACGTGCACGTCCAAATTTTGATTTTGACCCGCATCGCTTACTAGCTGGTTGCTGCACGAAACATTACTTTTGCTCTGGTTTTATCGTTTTGGTTTTGTATATACTGTTCCGGTGTTATCTCCTGGAAGTTGATTTTCGTTTTGTTGAGTAAAAATTTTCAAAAATCTTATTATTTTTTCAGCATTTTCATGCACTTTTGAAGAGCCTTGAGGTTAATAAAATTACTTTTCATCAATTTTTATAACCATTACGGTCTATACTTAATAATTGAAATATGTGATTTTATTATTTTTTTTTTTTTGTTTTTGTAAGTGTCCGGATGATGTTAAAAGTAAGTAAGCCTTTTTAAAGTGTAAGAAAGTTAATTTGTGAATGCAATAAAGTTCTTTACACCTTACTGGCTTTCGCAACTAAACCGTCCAAAGTCATCATTGCCATCCAAAACTGCAATGACAGGCGGTCATCATTATCCGGGACGTTATTTTGAAACAATCACAAAACAAATTGTTGACGCGGAAACTGCCAAATGGTGTCATTATCCATTTTACACACTCAGTTTGCAAATCATTTAAGCAGACACCTGAGAGCATTATAATGTAGTGAAATCTAAATCCTAGAGCTGATGTATGTAGGAGTTAGATTGCTCTACCCAACTTCTTTCCAGGCAATCCTGGGGAGGAGGGAGGAGAGGGTGACAAGAGGGGCGGTAGAGACACCAGCTAGGTCAGTTGGGATAGTTTTGAATATCGGCTCTTCCATCTCTTCCGTAAGCTCAGTTGCATTACTTCGTTCACCTGAAAGTGAGGGGACGAAGAGTGGAAGATTAATGAAACACACGGAATTTCTTTTCCAGTAACAGTGGGCATTAATTTATGTGACAAATAGGTGAGTGAGTGCGAGGGAGGGAGAGATGGTGAGGAGCGGGCAACACGTCGGCCCTTCGAGCGATTAAAATCAACATTCAATTAATGTTGATGGATGGGACAGAAAATGGCTCGTTTTTCCGGTCGTCGCGTACCGTAACGATGATCGATTGACAGCTCTAGTAATGCATTGGGACAGTTCGGCAAAGTACAAAGGATACCAGCAAATTCTTTTGGCGTTATCTATTTCACTACTTTGTTCAGCCGCAAACTAAGAAAAGTGCTCGGACGGGTGCGCGCACGTCATTGCGCACCTCACGCACCTCCTCCGTTCAGGCATGAATAAACCTACTAACAACATGATGGCCATATGAATGTTTGACAAATTCAGTGAACAGGTACTGCTATACAAAAAACATTTGCGTCATACGACGTCCACATTTTGGCGTAATTACGTCAAGTGCCCAGAATGAAGGGCGCGGGTGCTGTCCATAAAGCTCGCTACCACAAATGAACGGTCGCTCATAAATGCACTAGCAAAAACAGCGACAGCAGGATGTAACCAGCTTACTCTGCCATGTGTAGCAAAAACAACAGACATCTCGGACAACCATTTTAGGCCTTTGTTTGGCAGTTTTATCGCGTAATCCAGTACGAGTCGCGTACACACCTTCGCGTCTGGCCACTCACTCACTCTTCATGAATTCATATCAGTTTATGGATTGGAAGCATCACAGATCTAAAACTAGTAAGACAGAGTACAACAAGGTGGTCCTTCCTCTTCTGATACTGAACACACATGGTGAAGTGGGAAATGTGAAATTGGTCGCACGGACCAGCGGATGGCAAGAGATTAAAGAACAACAACGTTATGTTGAGCAATGAAGACTATGATGATTGTGATGCGCAATGCAGCAGTGTTTCTTCAAAGAAACGCATAAGGGCGAGATTTTTAGGTACTCAGCTACTGTTCTGTTCATGAGCAACAAATCCGGCGGTGCTTTGTAGTAAGATGTGGACAGGGTTTTTTCAAAATAAGGTGAGTGGATTAGGGACGAAACTCTATGCGAGTGATTTCCACAGCTTTAGCAGAGATCCCCAGCTACACGCTGCGTAACTCAGTCCGGTCTTCCATTTTTAGAGGCACTGACAGGTAACAGCCGCAATGTGCTGAACATCGGGATGCATGTGAGGATCCAGAAAAAACGAGCGTTGGATTTTTGATTCCTCGGCGTAACTGAGGCACTGCCATCTTGCTTTAAAAATAGTGGTTTTGGAAATGCAGGATGTTGACAAAGGAGAAAGTGTGTCTTTTGCGGAACATTTGCGAAAAAAAAAAGTGAAACCGTTTATAACGATTAGGGGAGGCGATCCAATGTCCACCTCGCCGTGCAGTTCCACGAAATGATATTGCTTTTCTGTTTACTGTTTCATGCTTCATTACCTCTCACCCATGAGTTTTACACTATGCTTTCCCCGCACTAAAACCGCTTACTGTGAAGTACCGGGAACTGACGACCTTAGAGCTCTAATTCCAGAAGGAGCTACACGCCTAGGTGCTGATATTTTTGAAAAGGACTTCATAAGTCCTGCGTATGAACTGGTGTGCTGCGCGTGATGAGCGCAGTATAGTCAAGCGTTATCAGCATGATAAGATGAAGCGGCGGCGACGGCGGCGGCAACACAGAACGATGGATTGATGGTATTTGAACGAAGCATTTTGGAGGAAAGGCGGAAATGATTGATGAATGGTAGGTTTTGAAGTGGTAGCGTCGGAGCATCCAATTGATCAATCATTCCACTTTTATGAGGTGATTCCTGTTGTCCGGCCGTGTCTTCAGTAGCATTTCGCTGGAGATGAAGCTAGGGAAGAGGAAGCAGAAGTACTTGCACGGGATTCTTTCAAAACTGTCTCATTTATCAATTGTTTTGGAGGGAGGGAGATGCCTATCAATCTACTAGTTCCCAGTTGCCTTCACAGGCTTTGCCGCTGGTTACAGCTACAGCTCTGCTGTTGCTGCCATGCTAAATGGATGGATAAATGGATGGATCACTTTGCCGCCACAACAATTCTAGTCAAGCAGTAGCAGTGGCAGAAGCAGTAGCAGCAACAGCAGCAGTAGGGGTGGTGGCAGGAGCAGCAACAGAAGCACATTCCATATTTCAAGAACTGGCTGCTGCCGGGAATGATCGATGCATCAACAATGGTTGCAAAGCAACAATTCATTCATCTTTTCCAGCCTGTCTTGCGTTGAAGCATTTATTCAGGAAACGAAGCGAAACTTCAACTCAGCCGTTACAGCTTCTTTCACTGAAAATGTGATAATGTCCTGCTCCTGTTTGCCTACAAATGTGACAGTTCCTCCTTGACTGATCTACCAGTTCACGCCATCGATAGCATCAACTCGCCATTTGTCCAAGTGCAGCGAGGAGGCACTGCACGAGTAGCAGCATCCAGATGATTGCTTTAACGGCTAGCCAACTGACAAGATGCAAAGATGTCTTCATTTTTGAATTGTTAAGGTAGTGGAGTGGAGGGGAACAACTTTCATGACAGCGTCGTGGTCAACGAATCAGTGGAAAGTCCTTGCTTCTGAATTATGTTACTACCATTAGCGGACGGTGTTTGGCATGGAATTTTGAAGAGAAGGGCAAGGAGGGCCAGCAAGTTGTAATGTCGTGATGCATTTTTTCAGCCGGCAAATCTGCTCGAAATCTGTTACACATTGAACTTGGAGCAGAGTTTATAGACAGCAATAACTGTTAGCCAGAAATCGGTATTGCCAAATGGTACGGTAATATGCTTAATTAACAGGTGCATTCAAGAAGAAAAGCACGAAAAAGCAGCCGAAATGTGCAACGAAAAATCTGCAGTGTGCTACAATTCCTAGCGTCGCCTTGGAAGTCTTAAAATGCACTCCATTCACAAATACTGGAGCGGACCTTTTGAGAGTGATGTCCGGGGATCTACATTTTTCTCGGGTTACTTAATTAAATTAATTGGAAATCTGCCGATGGTATCCAAGTAGATTAAAAAAAGTGCTTCACATGGAGTGTTTGTCGCAGTACTTATATTTTCTACATGGGCTTCATCTTGCCCATTTTTATTCTTATAGAAAGCCTGATAGCACTGTTTCAGTAGATCGGCAACATTTTTTCTTTTGATGACTGCATTTTGCAAATTCAAAAAGTGTATTATTTGGCAGCGGTTTCCAGGACTGTGAAAAGCAGCAAAACGTGTATACATTTTCGAACCTCCAGATTTTGCGTCCGATGCTCCAGGAATTATCACGCCATTTTGCTGCTGAATTGTTTGAATATTCACGTTACTATTATAAAATCCGTTTGATAGCGCCGTAATGCTACACTTATCTGGATGAAGGTCTCAGTGGTACGGTGGTGAGGGCCTCGCCTTGATAGAACGCCATTCCTCCTGAGCTACGCAAAGCGAAGCACAGCGATTTGCTGCAGTGGACGATGGAAGCAAGACCAGCAGTAACATTCCGAGCAGCAGCAAGCGAACAACGTCCAGGCAGGAGGCTGTTGCGCAAAACCCGACATCAACAGTGGAAAAAACTGCTTAATAAACGGCACGTAAACGTAAATGAGTACTCGTTTTTATGATCTAATATTTTTTTTTTTTTTGTAGTCGGCAAACCGCTGCGAATATTTTACTGCCAAAAAACAATGATTCCGCTGCTATCGGAGATCTCACAATCAGGACAAAATTGCAGTATGCATTTCCTCTTTCAGCCGACTCCACTGATTAAGCAATTATAATGAAGCAGCACGACTGGGCGTAATCAGATGTCGAAGATAGAAGAATGTTCGTGTTCCTCATTTTTGATCGAGATCAATAAAAGCTTCTAGCAAACGTGGTTAAAAATAGAAAAAGTTAGAGGAACTACAAGAATGGCAAAAATTGCTGATCCAGAATTCTTGGAATTCTAATGTAGGGTGTGAATAGACGAAAAACGTGATGCCGTAAAGCTGTAGCGATCCCGTTTTTACATCAGTGTGTCACCAATTACTTGGAGTAAGTCGTTATGTACGTATGTATATAAAAGTGTCTGTGTATGTGCGTCCGCGTTTATTTGCTTTTCTATTAAAAAGATGAATCTTTTTGAATGATAATGAATTTGTTGAAGTCTTAGCAAAAGAGGGAATTGCCAACTGATGGCCATTAATTTTGATTGGAGAATCGGCAGTGCGTGATTTAGAAAAAAATTGTCGAACGAATGTCTGGAAAAATAGTTTTTTCTTTTGACTGAGCGAATGATGGAAACAAAAAAAAGAAACAGTTACGCTTCTGATTTATTATACTTTAGCATATCCATGCACAGTCTTAGATCATTGCTGTTGCTGCTGCTTCTGGTACATGTACAATCAACATGCTCATTTTTTTACGTGCTGCCGCAATCGCTTCACATGATCTGTTCGCGCTAAAAGCTTTTGTGGCTGTTATCAGCGATGCACATACTGAGTGCGCTTAAGTCTGATTGTGGAATGCATGGTAATCTCGCATTTGGCGAATTTCAAAAATGAGCAATTTGGTGCCAGTGCATGCAAAGGTTCATGCACAATGTGCAAGAATCCGTGTGGTCGTAACCCCTTAATACTGACTGCAGGCAACGAAGAGTGCCTCAAAATGCCGGCATGTGAGGCCATTCACCCTTACTCGCTCTCCAGTTAGAGTATAAGATGGCCATTCAGCCAGCCATTTTAGTTATCACAGCAACACCCAAAGTGTCATAACAAACACGTGTTTACAGTTCGAACGAAAACGATGCAGACGACAACGTCGACTGATGGATGGCGTCGCTCTGATGACTCACTTGCTCATTACGCATCCACTTGCGCCCGTATTGTTCATTGCTCCTGAAGTAGAAATGGCTGGAGGGGGAGTTGATTTATAACAAGCAGTCAGCCGACACACCATTTCCAAAGTAGTGATTTATGAGACTCTGGCATCTACTTCGAACAGACACACACACACACACACACACATATTCACACGCATACGTATGGGGACTGTGCGTTCGCTTGCACTTACT